ATGATGGGTAGGAAAAATATATTTAATTGTTTGACTTTTCACGAATCCAAAAAGGGAAGAAACATTATTGTGACCAAAGAGTGTCTTTCAAAATTGGATTTTTACTGTAATCATATTTCGAAATTATTAATTAACTCGTTAAACTACCGTCTGCATTTGTTCAATTTCAATGTAGGGAGTCTCTGAACCCGGCGGTACAACCGGAAAAAGGGCAAATCTGCAAGAAAAAATAAGTAAAAAATATGGAGTAATATTTTTTCATACTAAGCTCCATTTCCGAATAAATTGACATTAACAATACTCGACGTTGAAAATTTAATATACATAAATATATCTGAAAGAAAACGATACGTATATCGCACTCCTATATTGTCACAAGCTGAAAACATGAAATTTTAAAAATGTTTCGTTTATCTAACTTTAACAACGTTCTGTTTCAAATGGAACAACTCTTAGGAGAAGAACCTTATCAACGGCAGAGCGAATGGAACTAGAATCAGCGGAGTAATCGGAGAAATCTGGAATATATTATCGGAATTCCTAAATTTCACGTAACGAAAAAGTTCAACCGACGAAAACGTGGCTTTCAAATTCAGTTACCGTGACACAATTAATCGTTTCAGGTTGAAACCGATTCATAGCAAAGACCAGACATTAGGATATGCAAATGAGAATGGTATTTATCCACGTGGTCTAATACGCCTTATTCAACGAAACGAGACAGATGTGATACCAAGGGTGGAAGCACATCCGAAGCGATTCAGATTTGTCCAATTTTCGTTCCCTTTATGGAAAACCAGGTGTGTTGGAATATTTTATTATATCACACCCACGCGAGAAAATTCTGACAAGTCGAAAATATCAAAAATTTTTCAAAGGAGATCGAAACGCAAATTTCTATTTGGACAATTATGCATTTCATTTGCAATATTATGAAAATGCGTCGGTTAAAATTCCCTTGCTTATAGTATACATACCACAGTTCAACTTCTGACACTTTTTCTTATGGTAAATCTATATATTGGACGATATTTCAAACGATAAGATGAAAATTGATAATTTCTTACTTGCCGACACTTTTCTCGCGATAGTGCAATATGAAAAATACAGGGGAAGAAGGATGAAGGATAAGATAACTTAAGGTCTTTTTTATTTTGTCAGAGATAATTCACAAACCTTTTCGGAAATATTGATTTTTATATTCTTAGTTGTGTCATTCTTCTAACAAAAACCGACGATATATCGTACTAAACACAAAAATTCATCACTTCGACTGATTAAAGTGGTTTGCATAAACAACTTCAACGAGGTTACTCATCACTGTTTTATGAGATACAAAATCAATGTCTTTATGTTTGAAGACACTGTATATAGTTGGTAATACTTCATATCCTTAATCCCTCTACCTGTAACTCTTTCGACACCCAATAATCCCATGTACAAACGTGATATGTATTAACCTTTTGCACTCGAGAGGCGACTGAAAAGCGACATTACTATTTACCACTTGGTAAATAATTAATGGGGAGATACTTGTTGATATTTTCTAGGACAGCAGGTCTATGGGCCTTTATAAAACTGTTCACCATATGTTAGAGGTCTGAGCAATGAAATAATTCGAAAAAAACTAACCTCTAATGAACTGTGTTACAAAGTCTTCCATAATATAATTAACTGTTATTTTCTACATTAGTTTAATATAGCAAAATTTCATCAATTTAACAAACAAGCTCTAATATGCTACTTCCCTATAGCAAAAAGACCTTCGGGTGCAAAGGGTTAAGTATAATAATATATCTTGCATACAGTTTGCGTTTATACATTCGTCATGAAGTAAAACATCTACCTACCTGGATGCTGAAACTATTCTCTCGAAAAGTCTGGTTCGCAATTCTGTTCACGTACTTTCTGTTAAGCGTGTGCAGCTATCTTTCCCAGGCTGTGGGTTTGAAAATTGCGCGTAAAAAATCGCAGGCAACCTTGAACGACTACTTCTTCTACAATTTTGGCATGATCTGTGGACAGAGTAAGGAAACATGTGTTAAAAAAAAAAGAGAGATATACATTATATAGAATATGTACGAGGGTCGTTCAACTAATAAAGAGAAAAACGGCTGTTACGTCACAATTTTCAATTAATCAATATTTATACACTTGAGTCGCTAATAACCCAACTTTTGTGGTTGATGCAACTTGAAGTAAATAAATAAAAAAAAGAAGAAAATTATACACTTGTCCCATCTCTCTACTAACATTTGTATGCCAAAGCAAAGAATTCTTTATCTTGAAGTCTAAGCCAGTTTTGCACATTTATTTTCACTTCTTCGTTACTGTCAAGCTTGATTGCACAGAAGGGAAGTTAAACAAAAAGAAATCTGATGGAGTAAGATCTGGACTATAAGATCTAATCATTCAAACTATGTTTTTCCTAATTTTTTCTAAGTTTTAAGTTTTTTCAATTTTTCGTATGTATACTGAAATTGTCGGGACAGGGATGCCAACTTATGATTTAGAAACTATTGTACTTTTTATTTAGATATTTTTTAAACTAGAGCTCTTTGTCTCTTTACTTATTGAATGACCCTCGTATATTCATTACGATAATATAATAATAAAAATAAATTCTAAAATCTTTAACGTGAATTTTTCGTTTTAGAAAATAAATATCATTTCTAAAAAAATTACCGAAATATCGTAGTAATGCCTTAATAGAAAATTATTCTTTAAAAAAAAAAAGAAAACATAGTTAATTGTAATTTAAAGCCTCAATTTGTTACAGGCTATCTACCGAACAGTTTAAACAAAAGTTCGAGAGTAGTGGAATTATGGTTGGGCCTCTTTTCCTGCTTAATTAGAACCGCTTTTGGCGCGCTTTTAATAGGCTACATGACGCAAATTTCCACCACGCCACCGTTTCATAATTTAAATTCTTTACTGGTCGGTACTTCGTACAATATTTTCGCTTTAAAAGGTTCCCTGCCAGATCTGATTTTTCAGGTACGAAAAACATATTTAAAGTCTTTTTCTAATTCTACGCAGTATAAGAAAACCTATACTACTGTAAATTATAAAGAAATATTAAACGCAGCATGACAAAAAAAATTGTCATTTAAATGAAAAATTTCCTAAGAATGTTAAGAAATATGTACTACGAAATAAAAAATATTTTGCTATTTAAGATTCTACATGATGAAAAGTAATTGATACGATGATGTAAATAATCTCTGAATATAGCTTATATGATTACTTTTTAAATAAAAGTGATTCTAATTGATTCCAGTTGAGCACAGAACCTGACTACCAGAATACACTTAAATATAAACGATATGTTGTTGCGGAAAGGATGGAGGATATGTATAAAACAATATGTTCCTCGAGAAAGCTGTACGCGGTATATCAAAGTGAAGATATAAAAAAAGCTGGAGGAATATATTTCTGTCGATTAAATCCTGCTGGGGCTCCCCTGTTCACTGTGTGGATAGTTTCTGGAATTTCGTGGAATTTCAGATACAAAAGATCAATTGATATCGGGTTAAATTATTTGAATAATTTTGTATTAATTTTTTTGTATAATTTTCCTGTAATAGAAACTTATTTGATTGAAATAACATTAATTTTATTAAACAGGTTATTGAAATTATACGAAGTTGGTTTTATAAAGCTACTAAAGCATCGTTGGATAGAATCGAAAAATGTGGAAGAAGAAAAAACAAATATCACAGAACCAATTACCATGGAGCAAGTGTATTTAATACTCTATGTATTTCATGGTGGACTGCTTATATCTTTCATAATTCTTCTACTTGAACACTTAGTGTTTTACTTTAACAAATGACGAAATTATTTACTTGTAAAATCTAAACGAATAGGAAGCTCTAATTTTTATTCTTTTATTAAACAGAACAAGAAATATTTTCCATTCCCTCTCTTAAGTCCAGTTTATTCAACAATTAATAAAAGAAATCTGTACATTAAATAATTATTATATCTTTGATTCAGTAACTTTCTTGTCTAAAGTTTCTAGTGGAACTGTTTGAGCAACTGATTCAACATCACTCTTAGAAGGTAAGGAATTTTTTTCCTCCGCTGGCAATACATAAGTTTTCGACGCAACTTCTGCCGGTGTCAACCAGTTTGGTATAATTTTTCCATGAACTCGCCATATACCATATGTATTAGATAAATATTTCTCAAATACTATGTAATCCAAAACATCTTTTTTTACCGTTTCGCTACCTAGTAGCAATCGCCCAAATCTATCGTAAATGCATAAAAACTAAAAAATAAATTTAATGTGTAATATCCAAATGTAGTAAATACACCATGTATGAAAAATATTAAAATTAATTTTCAAACCTGTTGAGTATGAAAACGAACTGTGACTTGTGCAAAATAATTGTCTTTTACTGCAGCACTTGCAACCCTTGCATGTACAATACGTGCTGGTTCCAAAGATTGCACAAATTTCCAAACAATTGTTTTATCCATCATATTATGTATCATTAACTACAATTACATAATATTTGCAAACATATTTTTACCATTATACAAGAAAAAAGAGTATTAAATTGAATTACATTAATGAAACTTACAGGATATGCATATTCTGTAACATACTGTAATATTTGATCTTCATCTTTACTGAGGGTACAATAAATTTATAACTTAATTTAGAATGTACTTTGTATTTAATATAACATGTATTTCAATTTTAATTCCTATGGATATTACTTACGTAGTTAAGGCTTCATGTGCTTTTTTATAAATATCTAATGTTTTGTCTACAAATTCTTTGGTTTTAAAGTCATCTTCATATGTTTTGATCTTTCTAAGAGCCATAACAGATTTACTCTTTTTACCTAAATATTCAAGTTTTTGTTTGGCACCCTAAATATTGTACACAAAACTTTTAAATGCTTGTGCAAATGGATATTTATTCTTAGAATTATAGAATATTCTTAGGTATATTATGTACCATTGTAGTGATGGGAGAAAATTTTCCATCACCTTCTGGGACAACGTAGGATTCAAATATTTGAGATGTGCAATTAACAAAAACGGGTCTTTCGTTCCAATTTCTTTGTGGATAAATACCGAATTTCTTAAATTTTGTTCTCACTACGTCTTCTGATAAATCGTCATTGTTCTCTTCCAGATCAGGTAACTCTATTTTAATAAATTTTTGTCCTCTTTCTTTACGAAATTTTGGATTGTAATGTTTTTTTATATACCTGACTTGTTCACAAGAATCATTAAGAACTGGATAGTTAATAGGACCTAACATTAGAGGCAAATTATTCTGAAAAATATTAAAATTTGTTTTGCAGTCAGAAGTGTTCGTAAAATTCAATATTGATTTAACGACGCATTTCGAAATTACCTGCATATATTTTCCAAAAATACAAATTGCATTTTTATATCTTAGCATCATCTTCACAAATGTATATTACAATTTTATTAATAATCACACTCACGTTCCTTTCCAACAATTTTATTAAATCACTTTTCACACCTTCTATTGAATGTTACATTTAGGTTAGATGGAGGTAAACTAACATAAATTGACGAATACACTATTTAGGCTTAAGTTAGAATATTTTGATCTATTGAGAAAGTATTTTACAAAACCCTGCGGATCGTATTGTTTAAACAATGAAAAGATGTAGTACAATAGAGAAAGTTGGTCTGAAAATATGGCGTTCTGATCCTACATGACTTCTATGAAACATCATATTTAAAATTCTATGTTATTATTGAAAGAAATATTAACACTTCTATCATTATACAATAAAAGTTAGAAACGAAAAAAACTTATTGTAAATCAAAAACTGATAACGAAGATATATGAAATAAATTAATCTTTATTCGAGATGTATTTTAAAGTATTGGCTGCTACAAAAATTTAAATTTTCAAATGAAGAATCTTTGCTTTACGACTATAACAAACTTTAAAAAATTAATAATTTGTTTATTTGTAATAAATACAAAAAAAACATAACTTTGTACCGTATTTTGTAATAAAGAAATCATGCAAAAATTATGTATAGATTTAATTGACCGATACATGTATAAACGAGAAGTGGAATTGTATCTATTTTTTCTTTTATAGCTAAGTCACTAAAAAATGATTCTTGTATTGATTCCCAAAGTAATATATTGATAGAAATTATGTCATCTTCTTTACGGTAATTTAAAAAACTATACTGTTAATTTCATGAAAATAGAATCTTAATAACGGCAACATCAACAAAATAAAATACACGTGGGTATCGGTAATACATCACTACCTTACCGAAATTTATTAAATAAAATTTATAACACTGCTGCTTTTATCAAAAAAACATAATTATAACTTAAAGTATTA